AAGACAACACTGGGAATTTGACCCAGAAGCTGGAACATTGGAAGAACGTGCCCAAGTGGAAAGGTTCCGCCAGGAGTTCAAAAAAAATCGATTTCGAGTGAAACAGAGTTCAGATCTGTTAATGAGAATGCAGGTATTTTGTAAGAAACTGTTTTATAAAACAAATTGTATAATAAAAATATAATTTATTTTATAAATTTATTAAAATATTTTAATATACAATTCAAACCGTTAAACATTAATTCTATATATGTATAAGTTTTTATAAATATATATATATATAGGCGTATATGAAAACGTTTCTTTTATTTAGACTGAAGTTAAATGTGCATATGAGATCATCTAGACTTAAAAGTTTATTTAAATTGAGAGAAATAAATAGAAATATAAAAAAGTGATATATATTTGTTCTTCCAGTTAAATTAAGATCGATGTTGACTCAAACCACACCGGCTTTATAAATGTAAACAGGAAAATCATGCAGCAGTCAATCAAAGAAAATTTGTGGGGTTAAATGCAAAATGGATTATGTACTACCCAATTTATTGGCAATTGACAATCCATTCCAAAATTTTTCAAAGAAAATGTCATTTCCTAGGCTCTAACATCCGAATAAATATGTCCCTCTCTTTCTTAATTATTCCTGATTTCAACCCATATTTCAACCATGGGAAGATTGAACTTTCCCTATTGTTTTTTGACCACTTATTCATAGAACCAAAAACACAGGACAAAATCGTAAGACAAATTATCAACACCAACGCTATGGTGTGGGATCCATAGCACTAATGGCTGAGATCTTTTTGTCTTTTTCTTTTTTCCTATATTTTCATTTTATTTTTTTTATTTTTTTTACATATCATTTAATGATTGATTTTTTTTTATTTTATTAAGACTCGTAATATTATGTTTATTTATTTATTTAATGATATATAGAGATTGTAAAAAATATATATATATATATGAGTTGTCTTCATATTATTATTATTATTATATTTTCGTGTATAATTCTTGATATATAATATAACATGATATTAATTATGAATAAATGCATGACAATTCATGATTTAACTCTTAAATAAAAAGAATCAATAATAAATATTACATTCTATTGTAAAAAATACTTTGTACATGCTTTTTTTTTTCTTTTTATATACCTTATCAATAAAAGAATTATTTTAAAAATATATTATTTTACAGTTCAAACTATATGAATTATTAAATAGAGACTTTTAGAAAGAAGGATGGCTCTTAATATAAGAAGATTTGTTTCTCATCCAAGAGTTTGTGCTGTGTAATTTGATATAATTTAAATTGTAAATTAATTTTTTAATAATAATAATACCAACAATAACATGCAACTAGGAATTAAATATTTCTTTACCAGTTTTTTTGTAAAGTAATTAATTTTTTATTTTTAAATATAAATTTAAAATAAAATTCAGGCCTAACTGATATCAAAATAAAACTTTTAGTGATATTAATTTTTTTAAAGCCCTGTTTGGTATAGCGGTTTTGGAGTAACGGTTAGCGGTTTTACCTAAATCGCTAAATATAAGTGTTTAGTAAATTTATATATTTCGAAATCACTATAAATAAAGTGTTTGGTAAAATTTTTATTTAACGGTTTGAAACTAGCGGATAGCGGTTTGAGTTCAAATCGCTAACGGATTGAAAAAGTTAGTTTATGTAGCTTTTTGTACCAAATCGCTGGCGGATTAAAATTTTTTAATTTTATT